TTATGATAAAGAGTTGAAATTCTTTTTCTACTTAGGGCTCATCGACTGGTCATCGTGAATTTCGGATCAACAGTAGACACAAATTTCATAAATTCTAATTTTTCTGCCGATGAGAACGTAAGACCGAGTTCAGTTATTAACTTCTGAACAATAGTATCATGTAACTCCTGTTGTTGTTGATGATAAGAGTAATGAATTCTTCCTAAAAAAAAAATTCATGTAATTTTGACTGCTGTCGATCTAACTCGTCTGATTTGTTTGACCTTTTAGTATATTCAGTTTGACGACAGGTTTTTTATATGATGACTAAAGTTAGATGTAACAACAATATTACTAAATACTAATGGTGTCTCGTAAAGAACAGACTCTTCAATATTCTACTGACATCTCTTTTTAATTCTTATTGGTGCTATCTGGCTTTTTTTAAACATTCATCTTTTCATCCTCTACACATTATATACATATACTGTAATTTCCAAGCCTATGTCTTCTTTGTAATATGACGAAAAGTAACTTCTTGTGACTCAGCACAATAAAAATATGGTGTAACATGATCCTTAACATTGTTTCCATCGAGTTGTCAACATTGCCTGGTCCTCCACGCCTTCTCCGAGTTATTAAGATAATCCAAAATGTCAAACACCGATTAGAGCACAAAAAGGAGATGGAAATTAGGAGAGTGGCTAAACAATACGCTGTATCAAGGATAAGAGCTCGTCGAATGGTGAAACAGTATCTGAAACCCCGCATTTGTAAGACGATAATCCAATTGCGACTATGACTGACGAACACAAGTACAAATGTAAAAATTTCTCAAGCTAAGTCGGTATAGTAACTTTCGAAGGCAAAATACGATACGCTTTTTATTTTGAGATGAAAGGTTTTCTTCTGCTACTTCATTACATATTAAACATTTAATGGATCGTTTTTTCTCATTTTTTTAAATAACATGTGTGAAGAATTCATTTCAAGCAGCTTTTACAACGTCCTACTTTGTGGATGTTACTTCACTTGTGGATTTTGATGCTGACGATATTGATATCGCGGAAAAACTTGTATTGGGAGATTCAGAGTTACTCATCATGATTATTATTATTTAGTTGACTTTTTTTTAGTTTTATGTCAATTTTAATTATGAATAAAATATTTGTGATTCTCTTTATAAGCCGTATGGGGTTGTTCCAGTTGGAAACAATGTTTCTTATGTTGGTTAACAGCTAAAGACGAAATTGTTTATTCATGCACTCTCATTCCGTTTATTGCTGAAAATCAACAACTATATACAAGCTTATGACCAATACTTTCCATATGGTACATGTCCAAGCACGTTAAGAGAGGGTGTGGGTGTGACTATCCTTTTCATAAACACCCACACCACACACCCACACCCACACCCCACATCCCACCCACTCACACTCACACCCACACCCACTCACCTTCACATCCACACCCACCCTATTCACAGAATGAACCATAGAGAATCGATGGACATAAACACTGGATGTTATCTTTAAAATAAACCGAGATGCCGCCACGACATGGAGACTGAGTTAACGACATTGGATGCTCATTGGCAACAATTAAACCATTTTTCTCCGACGTGTTTGTTAAGAAGACTATTTTCGATAATACTGTTACTGGAGAAGTCAAGCCCGTTGGTGGAAGAATACTGTAGTTAGCAAGTGAAAAATGTGGAGCCTTGCCGAGTGTTATTGAAGAGGCTCTAAAAAAATCATCAAGAATGCAGGAAATGTTTTCTTTTATTATTAGTCGAGCTGTTCCCGAGAAAACATTGCATAACGAGTCAACATTACCACCGATTTTGCAGAACGTCTTTAGTTCATCATCTTGTAATGGACAATTGAAGTTTTCATCATATACATAGCTAGGATTAATGCATATGTTCGTTCTATAAGAAATAGATAAAACATAATCAATCATAATCGAAATATCTATTGCCTTATTATAAAGAGTGGGTAAAAATATTTTTTCAGGAGGATAACGCTATGATTTCAAATAGCAGTCATAACAGATTTTCTACCAAATTAAAGAGCATCGAAAATGGGATTTATCAATGCTAGATGGTAAAGGTTTAGACAAACTTTTAGTGCCGAATTCAGAAAATTCTTAAAATTTTACGCCATATTGACAATGAAAAATGACTTTCATGAGGTAGTTCAAACTAGATCTCATTTAAAATCAGGAATCACACAAAGTAATCAATATCTGTCGCGTAAATATTGGAACAATAATCGAAAATAAAATGGAAACAAAACGCTATTGGAGACGAAACACTATCTTTACGATGAAGAGACTTTTGAAAACATATTTCAAATGTTTCGACAAACATAGAAACAAACATTGAGTCATGTGAAACTATTTCATGCTCGTATCCGTCTCATCTTAGTGCTTTAAAAAAGCCTAATGGTCATCATACTGATTATTGGTCATTTTCGTCAAACTTTAAGAGAAAATAGTATTTCATGATATTCCTGCTTTTAATTGAGATCTAGTTTGAACTACCTCATGAAAGTAATTTTTCATTGTCAATATGGCGTAAAATTTTAAGAATTTTCTGAATTCGGCACTAAAAGTTTGCCTGAACCTTTACTATCTAGCATTGATAAATCTCATTTTCGATGCTCTTTAATTTGGTATAAAAATTGTTATGACTGCTATTTGAAATCATAACGCTACCCACCCTGTACACAAGTGACCGAAGTTTATTTTTTACTCGAGAAAAGTTATCAAGTTTTTTCAACTGTGGTCTTTTTTGTAGTTTTGTATGAAGTGACTCGAGAGTACTAAACGGAGCTAAAAGCAACTGTTGATGGATAACGTCGATATTATTAGAATCTATTGTTATTGTGTATAATAGACACATTTATGTTGATAATAAGGGCTCATTGTTAATCTCGATTAGAACAGGATATGAAATGGTCAATATTTGAACAGTCAGTACTAGTTTCGTTAAAATAAGCAAGACAAGAACAGTTGAACATTTTCAAAAGCACCACTAAGAAATAGGATTAATGTTTCTGCCGCTACAAACTCGATTTGCATTTTTCTAAACATATTTTCATGTAAATATTCCATCAAATAAGTCTCAAATATGTATTTTGTGATGGATTCCATGCAATAGTCACTTAATATAATTCTAGTCTATTTGTTCATATAATTCTGCTTTAGAATGTTGCAATAATCATAGTAAAGGACAATAGTGAGAGAAAGAGATATCTAATAACATAATATTGCAAGATAAGTGAGCAATATATAATTGAGATCATTATTGTTATGGAATCTAGTTAAGACCTACCATAGGATACAAATAGTGATGTAAGTATTTTCGTATGCGATCGTTCTCTCTCTTTATTTCTTTCTGTCAAATATTCTCCCTATTGTTTTCTCGTGGTTTTTTCCTTGAGTAGTTTTCTGCTTTTGAGACATTAATGTATGCATTTTCCTACTGTATTATGTTATCTGCTGGTATACTCCATCTTTCGCTAAACATCTGATTATATATATATATTACCGATGTTGCCTATTCGAGAGCAGTAGGAAGCAAGATTAGCTTAATCAAAATTAAGAATATCTCTTTTAACTTCATAAATAAACTTCTATAAACCAGAGCGAATTACGGATCTCATAATTATAAATATTAGATTGTTGCTTGATTGTATCCAGGAAGACATGTTAGTGATACTGACATATCATTTTAATAATGAATACGTTATAGTATTGATTAACTCTTTTCTCTAAAATATTCTCCATTAGTTCAAAATTGATTAGCGAAAAAGAATGTAGCGAGTCCATTATTTCAATATGTTCATACAAATAACTTACTGATTAACTTTTTGCTGATTATCGGTATGGTTTTTTGAACAAAGGAAATCAGTCGCTCCGTTCAACTGTGTTAGACAGAAACTTCGTTCATCAGTTGCTCCGTAACAACCAATAATTTCATCATTACTATTAACCAATGGCAGACAAATCTACTCCGTTGTATTACGTAATAAACATGGATGTCCAACTAATCCGCGGCAAATGGGATGAAAACATCGTGCCTTATCTGCTCCGTTCGGACAATTCCATACTCCATCACATCGTGTATATTAATTATCACATTGCCATCGTTCGCAATTTGTTTCATCTGTTTCCAATACATTGTTAATTTTTTCTATATAGTCAGTATAACCATCGCATAATGTAGGAAAATGAAGAAGTTGAGTTTTTGATCGGCAATCATCTCGTTTTCCCAACCATATATTCGTACTGAGTATACATTGTGTAATATGTGTTCCTGTTATGCTCGATGTGCATTTTGAGCGGTGTTTATGATTTAGAACATAGCTCTCATTGTACTTTTCATCAATATTATCTGGACAATCACTATTATAATCGACTAGACGATGTTTCGAGATACACCTTTTACCACATTGAAATTGATTTTCTATAGAGCAATCATTTTCTTTACCATTTGTTTTTGAAGAACATTGCATAACCATTTGTCAACGAAAAGATCTTACTTGAGAAATTCAGTCTTCTCTATATTTTTCGACGTTTGGAAGTTCACAAGCAAGAATGAGAGATGGTTCACTGAGTTTTTTTAAATGAGTAACAGATTTAGAAATCGAACAATCTTCTTCATCATAACAGATGTAACCCGGCAAGTGATATAGTGCCTTTGTATGTAGTTGTTTGGTTCCATGAAGAAAAAAAATGTGCATGATGCCATCCAAGAGACTTTGCAGGAAATTCAAATAATGGTGGACAGTATTCCACCATTTTTGCACGACAAGGCCGACGCTGCTTCGAACAAATATTGTTACAACTACCGAAGAATAAATGGGCATAACTGGCATTATCCTAGAAATGAAAACACGTGCTATTTCATCAGTTGAAATAGAAATGTGTCGAATAAAGTCCGATTTTTAGTTTAGTAATTAAGAAAACATATGTTTGGAATAAATTGATTGTGGCTTTTTGAAAAATAAGAAAAGTCAACTTTTTAACATACGTACAAAAGAAATTCGCCGAGTTGCTTGAGCAAGACAGATTATAACAACCCAACATTCTTCTGTAATATGAGTATTAGCATTGTATGATAACAAACTATGCTCAAATGTTTCGAAAAGATGAGCTCGACAAGAATCTCTACCACATGATGGATTACAACAGGAGAGACTAGAATGCGTCCAATAAGGATATGTGATGTCTGTACATCGGAATGCTGGATCACCCTTATCACAATTCTCGGGGTATAGTGTTCCTTCCAGTAAATCTTCATCAGTTCGATCAAGACAATCTGGAGTAAAAACATTATCAGATAAAAATGTGTCTGGAATACATTGACCATTAAAACATCGATATTCGTTGGGTCCACATTCATTTTCTTTCAGCTTCTCACAATTTTGTTCATCCACAGGAATAGGCCAACAATCAACTTTTCCATCACATATCTCACGCCAATCCAAACACCATGACATTTGATCACGCGTACAATTCAAATGCAAATAACAAGTAGTACTTGATGAAACTGGATGAGTTTTTGTTAACACTTCTTTGACAAGGCGATCGAAAGGTACCTGTTACAATATAAAGATTACTTTTTTCTCATCAATATTTGCCTACAGCGCAGAACTGCAACGGTAATGATCATTTGCCAGCTCATTATCATCAATTTACTGGTCAGACCAAATCAGTAGTAAGCAGTTAGCAATGTTCATATTTTCGAGAAAGACAGTCTCTAATATTACTAATACATGAGTAGATAACTGCGCCGATATTGGTATGACTGGTTGTCGACTTTCCTTTCCCCCTTTCTCTTAATCTTATCTATTAATTGTTCTTTCCGATATTCATTCCTCTCTTGCACTCTCCTATATAACCTTATGTTAAATGTGAAGTTGGAACATTCTGGAGATGTGAAGCAGCCAAACAAACATCATTGCCAAGAATGGCAACCAGCTACTGATCGAGTTTGCTGTGGGTGTGAGTGTGTTGGTTTAGATATTCATTCCATTTATACGTACACCCACGTCTCTTATCCACACTCACACCTTAGAAGATCATCCACAAAAATTATATCAATTTAGAGTGATTTCCCAATCATTTTTGAAGTTTGTTCGAAGCATATTTCTATTGAGTCGGCTATTGGGAAAAATTGTACATAAGCCATGATCAGTACCTGTAGGTCATTGCTCAATCGATACTATCGATTTAGCTCATATTTTTCTATTATATAGAACTTCTGTTGATTCTCATCGGTTATCGTTGAAAGAATTAGCTGTGCACACCGACTATCGACCATAGCGGTTATCAGATCTTGCAGATTATTGGTAGAATATTTACTGGTGAAGGGTCATCAGCAATGGCTACTAATGGACCGGCTACCTTCATTATTGCATCCCTACTACTCATCATAGTTGACAAAATGCGCTTCGAGTACAGTGTTGCAGTTTTTAAGAGACTTTTCAACTCTTTTTAAGGTACGTTTCTTTTATAAAATGTGTTGAAAATCAGAAGTGCATTTACGTAGTTAGTAACATAATCTATTTGGCAACAAGTTGCAGAAAAGATCTATCCGGAACGGGAACACATGTCAAAATGAAATTAATTTTTTTCTCTTGTCTTATCAATCAATACTCCAAAGAGAAAAGATGTTTTCATTTTTACACACTAACCTGGAAGTCAAAAGAGTATTGACAGAATTGACCAAATTTATGTTTCGAAGAACAATTGTAGAATATCGACAAGGATGCAGTAATTCGATCATCGATAAAATTTTGACGAAAAGCTTCATATTCTTCAATAACATCTAGATGAGCTGACCACGAATATAACTGAACGCCAGTAATATTACGCTGATGCAAATCATGAAACGTCAATGCTGGAATATCACGGTCAATTGTAAAAGATCCTTCTTGAAAATTATCACATTGACAAAAAGAAACGATTTGATGTTCCATTCGATATGATTGTTCAAGTTCTGGATTATAACTTGTAATATCCTCGTTTGCGTAGAAATCTAAACAATCATCATCATCATATGTATTATATTGACCATTCAGCAGATCATTGGATGAACAGAACATAAGAAATAGGAAAAGCGATTTGAACAACATGATGCTAAAATGTTAAACTTTGCCCAGGAATGTAGAATTTTATATGAAAACTTAAATTAATCTTTATATCAAGCACACCTGCTCAACATACTCATTAATCATTTTGATTTATAGGTTTTTTTTCATAAAATATTCTAGAATAATACTCTCATATTACATACTGCTATCGTGAAATATTTACTCGTCTTATAGCATGTAAAAATAAAAACAAGCATTCTAATTATCTCATGAATGATCACAGATTAGAATTAGTTGATGAATTCAAATATACAAGTTTTACTTAGACAAATAAGATGTTCTTAAAATCGATAGTTGATGAACGTCTTGATAATACAGAAAAAAGTTCAGTAAATTAAGATGTATGAAAAATGGTAACACTCTCTCAGAAGACGTCTTTTGAAAATGTTTATTGAGTATAGTTTCTCTTGCTTTGTTTGAATATTTCCCCATATTCCTTCCTACCCACAACGCGAAAAGCATTTTTAGCCCTAAGTGACACTTGCACTTGATTTCTCTTCTTTCTTCTCTTCTCTATGTGACTACTTTTCGATAGTGTTCACCTTGAAGATGCACTTCTGTCTCTCCCTTTGTGTAACAGCTATACAAATGTGTATTAATAGTGATATAAATACGACCACTGTGATAAAGTAGCTCAGTAAAACTCATTGTCGAAAGTGGCGACAAAGCTACTCCTCAAATTCATCACAGCATTAATCTTGAGAAAACTTTGAACGGATAACGAATGGCTCATCGCTGCCTACTTGTTCAAACAACAAACCTTCTTCGACAAATAAATGAAGTATCAGTGAGTGAGTATGTAAAATAACGTATAAGGAAACGAATAAAACAATTCGAAAAAACGAAGGCACGGTACTTGATTTTTCACAATGATGTATTTTATTTCATTTGTATTTATACGAATAAAAATAATCGTCTGAAACATTTCTTTAAAATTAGAAGCGTGATGCATGTATGCACGGCATCAAATATTGCTTCTTCGGTGTCTTGAATTTTTCTATTCATGTAAAACCTGCCATGTTCTTGTTTGCTACTTTTTTCTCTTCTTCTGTTGCCTTTGTCTATTCCCTTATTGTTCCTCTTCACTGTTGTTTTGTATGTCATCTTTTTCTTTATTCCTCTCTTCTACTGATTTTTGAAAATTTCTTCTATCATCAGGTTTTTTCACACTTTTTTATTCGATTTTATTTCTTCCTGACAATTCACATGTTTTTTCCTTTTATTTGCTCCTTTGATATCCTGACAAGCCTGAGCCAATATGTATTATTACTATATTGATGATAAACTATGAAACGTTTTGCATTAAAGACGCTACTTTTAAGTCGAATATCTCAATTTCTTTTTCTATTATATAAGCACTTCGAAGATTTACATCCATCAGAAATATTTTAAAGAAGTAGAATCTAAAGTAGTGAAAAAAATTTAACAACCAATAGAATGTGCTCGTATTGATCATGGTTTATTCAACACAAACAAGTAGCGTTTCTATTCCTAAGGATGTCATTCGAAAGAGTAGAGTGCAACTGTCCCGATAAACTACTTTACTTTGAAAGTAAAATAAACATGAGGTAGCTCAACAATTTCATTCATGAGATCTATAGAATTTCCATGAACAAAGTAAGTTCCATATAGTTTTCAAAACAGTAATATAATATCGAAGGAGAGAGTGTATTCCAAAATCTTTATCGGGAAACTAACACTATGATTTCAAATAGAATCAGTAACAAATTCTATACCAAACGAAAGGGCGTGAAAAATGAGATTTATCAGTATTAACGACTAAGAATTATGACAAATTATCAGTGCGAAATCAAAAGATCTCTAGAAATTTCTGCAATACAGTCGTGATTACTTATTAGTAATGAGCCACGCAATAAAAAAGGAACCTTTTTCCGCGGATATTGGCAGATATATAGTTGTGGATGTGAATTAGAAGGCTCACATCTACACTCTGTTCCTTCATATTTGTATTGTCTGCAAACTTACTGTTTGTTCTTTTCTTCAAATTTTTCTGATTATGAGACATACTTCTCATTAGTATAAGTGTCAGTGTGGTCGTGAAGTTTGGATGTTGATATTCTGTTCAACCACACTCACCCACATCCATCAGCACTCATACTCCACACTAGGTATGTGACAGCTCAGCTCGAGCTCACGACAGCTGGAGCTGGTCAACCCACTCTCATGAACTAGAGCTGGTTGACCAGCTCAAAGAACGATGAACTGGTAGCTTTTCTCTACTATCATGAGGACAAAGCATACTATTGTTCGGACCATATGAGAGGCACTCCTGACTAATCTGGAATTGTTCCGAACGATACCATGTTTTATCTTTACAATAGTAGAGAAAAACTACCAGCTCGTCGAACTCTGAGCTGATAGCTTTGCTCTACTCCTGTAAGGAAGAAGCATACCATTGTTTGGGTCACATGAGAGAGAAACCAGATAACTCCTGGGTTCGCCTGAACAGTATCACGTTTCATCCTTACAATAACAGAGAAAAACTTTGCTGAAATCTGATTGGCTACGAGCTTTTTCAATCAACCAATCAGAGTTTTTCTCTACTACCGTAAGGATCAAGGATGTGAGTGTGGGTAAAGGAATAATTACATGCACACCCACACCCTGCACTCACAGCCACCCCACACCCACGCCTTACTTTGAAAAACGAAATTCACCGATATAGTGCACATTATACCGATCTGTGTATGCCGGTGATAGTTATCATACAGAATATCTTGTTGGTTGTTATAACAATAGGGTACTAGTTTATTTGTAGTATTGTAAGTAATATCAGAAAAGGCTGTTATGAACTAAAGACTACCAATACAAACACTTATTAATGCTAACTAAACAAGGAACAAAAAAATACAAAACAAGTTGGTAGGAAAACAATGAAGAAAAAAAGGAAGGCGACTTTAACAGATAAAATGTGCAAACGAAAGAAAGTGTTTATACTTTTTTCAAACTTTCACTGGATCATATTTTCACTTTTTTCTATCGGAGAAAACAAACAAAATAACAAAATGATATGAAAAAAAATAGATGTATTAAGCAATGAGAAGGTCTTCGTTAATCTTTGTTATGATGCCTATTATCTTCACTTATTAGAAACACGAAGAAAGTATTCTCATACTTTTGTAGCAGATGCTAATGCAAAAAAGACAGCACACATCTGTTGGATTCTATAAAGTTTTTAGAATTCAAATGTTGTTGGTATAATGGTGGAAGATATACATGCGGAAATATTATTACTTTTTCAATATTGAGTCAAAAACAAGAGAAAAAAAAACATTGTAATATAGTAAAAACTCTATTCGACAAAAATGCTATTTTTTGTTTATTTACTTTCATGCATATTTAGAAGACTTTCTCTTTATATCTACGTTTCTTCTCCTATTGCCAACCAAAAAAAAATGGCCTAACACAAATAAAATCTAAAAGCTTTAGTTTTCATAATATAAACATAGATGCATATAAAATTTCTATCGACTATAGAAGGTTTTTGACTAAAACATTGCATCTCAAACAAACAGAACAACACAAAGACATACAACTACAAAAAAAATATTCTTTGCTTTCTTTTGCGCACAATCGATAATTGAAAAAAAAAGAACATTCAAAAGAAATAATGCAACGTATGTTAAACAAAAATTAAAAAGATACTATAATAATATATTTGTTTTTGCTTGTTCTATAATGAGCAAGTAAAAAAAATCAATAATATCTCATATTGCTTTAATTTCAAAAAATAAATAACTTAATGTTTGGTATAATTTTGAAATAAACTGGAATCATTGGGTAAACGACGAGCATAAGATTTCGCTTTAGCATTCCAATATTCAGCATTTTCTTTCAATTTATTCATATTATTCACTACTAATTGATCAGGAACACCATATGTTGGCACATCTGATTGTGTATCATAACCAAGTTTCTTAAGCATTGGTGCTAATGTATCTATTTCCTTTTTGACATCGTCCGGAATATGACCAACCCATCTAGTTAATGCTTCTAGATTGATTGGTTTAATAACTTGATCAGATGAATGTTCAGTTCTAAAATAAATAAATAAAATTCATTTTCTCTTTGTTTCTTTTTCTTTTGTTAAACTTACTTTGAAAGAGATATTTTCTTTCCAATAAATTCTTCATGATGTAATACACTATCAACCCAAGTTAAATTTAAAAATTTCAATATACTTTCAATGGTCTTTTTTGGTTGTAAAACTAATTGTTCATAATAAACAAGTAAACATTTATCTTTACCAACTAATGTACATTGATCCATCATTGCTTCCATACCTCGATTCCATACTTTAAAATTTTGTTTATAATCACTTAAATTAAAACCAGTTATTGTTACTTTACGTGTAATTACAGAATGTATAACAGCACGTGCATCACGTACTAATAAAAGGAATTTTGCATTAGAAAATATTGATGCTATATATGATGCATATTTAAGTACAAATGGATCTTTATCACAAAGAACATCAGCATATTGATTATGACGAACAAGAATCTCATAAACGAAGGCACGTATAGCAGAATCAATCATTTCTTCAGTCATACCACCAGCCATAAGTCTATTAAAAGAAAAAAGTGAATTTTTATTAGAGAATCAATATTTTTTTCAGACACTTTTGACGATTATTAGTAGCATGTTTAATATCGAAATCTTTGATTAATATGCACTCTATATCCTAACTAATTAATCCAAACAGATTGATATATCATTAAAGTCAACCAAATTAATAAAAGAGAACACTAGTATTAAATCAAAGTAATGTTATGTAAGAAATAAAAATTTGTTTCATTAATCATCAAGTAACATGAATAGTTTTGGTATTTAAAATGATTTATCACACTTGAATGAAGACATGAAAATTTTTATCTTCGATATTGTTTACTTTTCTTATAAAATAGCACTAGTTGTCTCAAACTGTAATG